CTAACTTGATGTTTGCGTAAAATATAACATCTGATAGCAGTCGGTGTCTCAACAAAAACATCCGCATTTAGACTACATTTGTACGCGTTGTTCTTGTAAAAAATTCATATACGATTGATACTAGTGGGCTGTGTCAACTGTTAGGAACCACCCTAACTGACTCGCTCAAAGGCCGCCCTGGCAACTCGCTCTCATGCCAAACTATCGAGCTGCCTACATGCCGTGCAAGTGGTGATTACGCGCAGGCTGCCGACATGATTACGACTACCCGACCAGTTGAGTCAGAAGGCTAGTCGGAATACTATCCACTGAAGGGCACTATCTGACTGGTTCAATTGTAGTCCGAACACGTAAATATTTTAAAGTTCCTTTTTTGTTTCTAACAGTGCATTCTTAGCATACAGCAAGGCAGTTATATTATTCCACTCCTGATATCTAATTCCATTTTGAGGATTCAAACGAGGCGTTGTTGGACGAGCGACCATCGGGTTTGCGGCAAGTTCATTATGTCCTTTACCTCGACCCAAAAATAAATGGAGACGTAGCAAATACGCTCTTGCATCAAAAACACCAACGAAGACCACACCCAAGACATGGTTTGTTTCACAAGCCCCGTGGTCCAGGGTCCACCTCGACCATGCTGGACTGATCAATGGTCAGAACTTCCTTATCGTCGTTGAGGCATACAGCACCTGTCCTGAAGTAATTCTCATGGAATGCACGACAGCCAGAGCAATAATCAAGACTTATCGGTGACTGTTCAGCAGATTTGCTTGTCCCAAAACGTTGATGAGCGACAATGGAGGGCAATTCACATCGGCCGCCTTCGCCCAATTCCGCAATCAATAAAGTATTTATCACTTACGTTCGCCACCATATCATCCGCAGCCCAAAGGACAGGCTGAGCGATTCGTCGACACTTTCAAGCGGGCTCTCCAGAAATCAAAAAGGAAGGTATGACGGAAATTATAGTTATAGTCCTTCCTGCTGAACTATTGGTCCCCCCCCCGAACCCGAACGCTCCAAACGGTTTCCCACCTGCAGAAGTTTTGATTCAGATAACGTTTCGCACACCATTCGAAGTAATTCTTCTACCGTCATTTGCTGGTGTTGGTGATTAAATAGTCCATTCGATGTCAACAGAAGGGCAATTCAACCAACGCCACGGGGCATAGCAACGATTGTTCCATCCGGACGAAGTAGTGCTGGCAAAGGACTACAGGATCAATCAGGAGAAGTGTATGCTTGGATGTGTTGACCGAAAGTGTAGTAACATCGCCTACGAGATTCGTGTCGGATCAGACATTTGGGTGCGTCACGCCAATTAACTGAAACACGCAAAATTTACTGACGCGCCAAATCCAAATCCAAGCCCAAACTTATCGTTTCAACTACTAGTGGACCCATTCGATTTGCCAAAACTAAGGCAAGAACCCAGAATTCGAGTGCCAAGTCGATCTTCTCAACCATTTAGATGATCAGGTCGAAAAACAGCGCATAAGTTTCCGTTGCAGATGAATCCACGTCCCAAATCGTACAACTCAACTCGAAGAGGGAAGTGCTAGAGGCCGCTTTAACCGACTTGCTCGCACGCCGCCTTAGCAACTCGCTTCCAAACCACACTACCGATCCGCCCACATGCTAGGCACGTAACGACACGCAAGCTATCGCCAGGATTAGGACTCTACCTCGCCAGTCGGATGAGTCAAAAAGTCATTGCAGCTGCTACCCACTGGAGGGCACTATCCGATTGGTCAGACTGCGGCCCAACGTTGTGCATGCCTAGTTTGTCTTTAGAAAGCACGCTGTTAGCATACGGCAAGACACTCCTATTTGTCCGCCCTTGCTGTCGAGTTCACCTTTGGGGAATTTAATCGAGGTGTTGTTGGACGGGTGAACACCGAGTTGGGTTGGGAGGAAAACTGAATGCCATTCACGGCGGCAGTTAGAAAAAATTATTGGCATTTAGTAACTTCTTTTAGTAAAACTGTCAATGCAAGCAGTTACAAAATTATAAAGCTATCTAACTGCTTTAGTCAAGAAAGAAAAGAGCTTTCAGTATCCTTTGCGGCGAGGTTTATCGCAAAGTGGAGAGCGTTAAAAATCCGACGAAAAAAGACGAGGCAGGACTATTATAAAAGTGAAATAACTGGTACAAAATGAAAGCCTTAAAAACCAACATTACAGATGGCCAACAACGTCTAGTGCTTAACTCGACTTTTAAATCGACAGAAAAACCGAAGAATAAAGATACGCCCTACGGCATATAGCCGGTATAGTGGCACGCGCAGCGTGGCCCGGGTGTGCGATGTTCTGCTCCCACCGTGACTCTGATAATACCGTGGAAAATACCTAGTCAGCTAGGTGGTATAAGGGTGTGGGAGTTCAAACATTGTGCGGAAAAATAAAGCCTATAGATTTGTAGCGTAGGATTAGTCTTCTGGCGAAAAGTTATATGAAAGTTCTTTATTCTTACATAAATTGTATGCATTTAACAATGACTGACACAACCTAGCACTAACTTAGGAAATCAGATGTATGGAAAACATGATTTGAATAAGCCGAAGGAGCAACTTACGTACGGTAAATGCAATCGCGAAGGGAATTTGATTCGACTACTGATAAGGAGCTATTAAAGTTTCGTGCATCGCTTTCGACGCCAATAAATTTCCAGTTATTTTTTCGGGCCCCTAAAAGGGGATATATGCACGATGACCCGACTCCGATATCCAGAATCAAGGGTGGAGGGGCTATATTGTTCATATCTTCATCGGAATAGTTGGAAATAGAAGTCAGTTACTTTCCAAAATATCTTCAATCCACAAAACGTAGTTGAGCCTTAATGGGATGGTAGGAACTAAACGGTCCAGAGGAAATTCGACATCTAATTTGAAGTCTTCAAGAAGCAGGGCTCGAGAAAGTGCTGCAAGATGTTTCGGCTGCTTGAAGTCTAAAGTTACTTTGCCATTCTCGTCAGTAATTGCGACATCTCTAAAGAAGTCGTATTTTGAATATAAATCTCTAAATGATGGTTTTCTGAATTTATACTGGTTCCTTGTGTGCATGTACGAATTCAAGGCCATGACGAGAGCCACAAATGTGACAGTCCTTATGTTACCGGGACGTATATGACCGCAGCTAAACACTACGGTTTGAAAGCGGGCTGAGCATCTACAATTGCCCAACTCGTGGGTGTACGCGTTAGCAGTAAATATGCGCAAAAATTCAGTTTTGCTTTTCAGAGCTGAGATCTCTGGACGATATTTCTCGAGTTAATGTTCGGAAATGCTGTGCTTAAGGAATTATTTTGGGTCTGCAATGGGAACGTCTTCGGAAAGATAACAGCAGGTACCGTCAAATCACCCAAGCATAGTTTAGAAGAACTTCTGGATATGACACGGTATCTCCAGGAATGAGAGATCTCCAAAGCATTTTGCCTATTATGGTCATTGCGAAGAAGAACTAGAACCGCATGCCACATTCCTGTTCTTGAAATTCCGGCAGGTATGTGAGAAAATTTCCCAGATGTGTTTGTAATATAGACAAGGTATTCGAAGCGTGTTATGTCCGCATTTGCATGGGAAATATTTGATGAACAGCACGGCGTTTATCACTCTCCGTTCGACTATTCATTTCACCGACAAGTATTTTACTCACGAGCGCCACGTCTGAAGTTCCTATTCTAGAAACCTAGTAAACACCCCGCGGCAAGCAGGATTAGTAAGGCCAATCATTTTTACAACTAAAAACTACTTCCTACTTATCAGTAGGCATACTATTTTTTAAACTTCCGTGTGCTCCCCGTTGGTCCAGTGGGTGATTAGTGATATTGTTAAAAGATGCACT